TTACCCCAAAGTCCTCGAGTTATTGGCAAGATGTAATATTTTTTAAATGGCATCGAATCCAACCACTTTATTACTTAATGAAGGACCAATGGTGGTCGCGAAACGTAGATTAGTTTTCTTACAATACTATAAAACGATTGAATTGTGACTTTGCTCTCTTTTTGTTCAATTAACTTATGGAAAATTAAATGCATAATTTCTTGTTCGAATTTTCAGCCCAACTTAAAAAGCCTTTTCTGGATTCAGGCAACTGTACTATCTATTATTACCTCAATAAAAAGCAGTATAACGAAAAAGTTAGCACGACCGCTGAATGGAAATCGATATGCGAAAATTTGGATTAAGCATAAAAGGCCCCACTGTATAAGCATACCTCCGAAGTACTCTTAACCATTACTGATGAAACGTAAACTTCGTTTTAGGAAGTAGAAAAGCGTGGGCAAAGTTGCGCTTACATATTAGAACTCACAAATTTTTCTTTGGACAACTCGTTAATTCCAAGGCTTCATGGCTAACCCATCAACTCCGACGGAATTCATTTGGTCTCCTTTAGGTGAATCAGGTGATAGACATCGTTGAAAACCTGAACAGTAGTCAAATTAAATATATTTACTGTTCACTAAGGCGTTCGAGGAATTTAATCTTACCGGTTTCTGAAATTATTTCCAAGGAAAGTATTCAGGTGAGGAAAAAGTTAGCAGCTTCTTTACTTTGGATTACCATCTACTTGGAAATTCCGTGGAACCAGATTCACCCCAGAGGGATTAACTTGTGTGAGTCATTTCTCATCTCCAACGCTCTAACGTAATTGGACCCCATTGTCAAACATAATGCAGAGATGTAAGCTAGTGAAAAGAATTTTTGAACAAAATTTTGAATGCAGTCTGTTCATTTAAGCTGCGTAACTACGACACCACGCCATGTAAGATTTTACCAATAGCAAACTGGTGTGCAATTTATTTGCGATTCCATGTCTTGCCGGCAAAGTAACGTTTTCCCACAAGACACGTAAAGAATACCATTGTAATTTTGTTCGTACTGCTGTACTGTAAGCAAAGTGTAAAGCCTAACAAAGAACTCACAACAAAACAAAATGTAAACCTAACCTTTCTGGAATCAGTAGCATTTTCCAATATAATGAAACAAGAACTATATGGGAATGGGCCATATTGAGGGTATGCAGGGCTGAATTGAGGCAAAAAGTCATTCAGATTTATTCACAAAAGCATGCATATTTGAATGCTAAAGCAGTTTGTTGTTTAGTTTGTTAACTGAGGCAACTTTTCATGAACTCATTAACGGTGACATTCATCCGTGAAATCCCCATTTAGCCTTAGGCACCAAAAATTACCAAAGCCGCATATTTGTGGCACATGGAATGTGTTAATCACTCGAACCTCCACAAACGTAAATTGAAACAGTAGCTAGCATACATTAAGCTGCATGGAAATAGTTAAAAACACAAATTAGTTTTATTTCAAGGGTTTCGAATCAAAGTCCTGAATAAAACTTATGTCACCCGCACGAATCTTATGATTTTCACGAAATATCCAACTTTCTTCACTTCAGAAACGGGCTTGAAATGAGACAATGCTAAAAGATTAGACTTGAAAATGTACACATGCGCATTTTCCCCCTAGATTAGAAATATAATTTCGTGAAACTTCATCTACTTTTATGATTACTGTGTCCCCTACAACACAGGATATAAATTAGCAGAAATACTTCAAATGTACTTCTACAACTTATTTTAGAAGTACATCTCAAAAGCTAAATTATCACCTTATATTGTGCAAATTTTAACAAGCTCAACTCACAACCTCATAAATCGAAAACGTCCGAAAGGCCAAAAATATTTCTCCGCGAAGCATTGGAGATTGTTGTAATGTTGTGGGTTATCCCCTAACTGATTCAAACTACGCAAAAGCAATGACTGTTGGTTTGTCTTTGTGCTTTTAGTGAGAGGTAACATATTGGAACACAAAATTCATTTCTGCAATATGAAACAAAGTGCAGATTAGGTGAACACCCATTTACAAATCACACTTTCAATGAAATTTCAGCTTACATTCTCAATTGGAAAGTTGTTCTTTCATGACATTTTCGAAAGAATAAGTTTTTGTCGCACAATTAATATAACAGTCACGCACGCCACTTCGCACACCCTCCACCTGGCAACCCTGTTCTTTGGAGAGCCTAAGTAACTAAGCATAATTCACCGCGCCTTCTTCTATCATCCGACCTTTATCTTTTTGTAATCGTTGTTATTAAAAACACATCTATGGTTCATGGGATATGGTTCTGGGCTTTCAGTGGTTGTTTAACTTACGATAAATTATTATAAGTTCCCACCTAACGATGGTCAGAAATAAGTTACTTTTGTGCCACCTACCTAAACAATTATCTCTTCGCCTAGCTATTACCCGTTTCGAGGCTGGCGCGGTGCGCAAGCAATGCGTAAATTTGCAAAGCGACAGTCTATAAGACACACACCACTCTCTTTTTGTGCAGCTAGGACGCTCCAGAAAGTAGGCAAATAGGGATCGTGCATTATTCATGAACATTTATCTGCTGGGCTAAAGCAGTTTTCCAGCTATGCAAAGACTTTGAGAAAGTTGTTTTGAATCTTCAGAATGCTTAGTTTGGCTGAAAAAATGATCCTTTAATTCCTCAATCTCGGTTAAATCTATCTGACCATGAGAGTGAAAATTCTGCAGTAGTTAGAGGGATTGCAATGCATTCCAAGCTAATAAGTCGCCCACAAATGCATTTGCGCTTGACACTTTTATATTTTACTTAAGATCCATGTAATGCCCGAACTTATTTTACCCTTAGCTCGTTATAAAGTTCGATTCTAGTTGCTAAAATAACGCGTGACTAGTAACAAAAGGTTCCTCACAATTATTTACACTTTCAAATCCATTTACCATCATTTGTATGAACTGACCGCCTACATACCAGGCTTACTTTTACATTTAAGCACGTTGCGTTTGTTGGAAGTGCCTTGTCACGTTTACAAAAAACGTTCATGAAGCTTTAAGAAATTGTTTTGAACAAACCCAAACTATCAGGACTTCGCCAAACGTACTACAACTCCAACTATAAGAATTAGAGAATCGCCATAGTTAGTAATAATGCACTTTTGAGGTGGTTAGAACCAGACAGACTGGGATATTTCAAAAGGAGATATAATGCGAAAATGACTACTATTACACCTATAATTCGATAATTCCCAAGTCAAGTTCGTTTGTTTCCGTACTACTAAGAATACAAGGCCTTCATTTAATTTCTTGATGCGTATCCCCCAAAATACGCAGTCGTGAAGGCTGACAGGGCGCCGGTTTGTGTTCAGACGTCGAGCCTCTTCTGGCGACGCGGCGTCAGAGGCCAAAGTTTGGCTATGCACACATCGCTTTTACTCGCCTCTTTGTATTGAAAGTGGTTCTCAATACATTTATACATCTTGTCGCCCTCTCGTGAAGAGGCAAGGCTTTGTGCAGAGCGATTTTCAAGAGTCGCTCAGCCTGTTTCAAGAGATGACTTAGTCAATAACATTAAATCGTTCACAGTATGCGGGAACCCACGAAGATATCCACATCGCAATGTTTTCAAAGCAAAGTAGTCACACCTCGAAGGTGTGATAGCAACACAAACAAGCCACATATCAAACAGCCCCCGAGTGACACATGAAGGAAAGAAAAATCGCGCGGGTCCCCGTACATCTTGGCCACCACGCTGCAAAGGGGCTTCGCACAGCACCCTTGCGAGCATCGATTTTAAATATCCACATTACACGTTGCCGGGACGACTCACTGACACTTTTATAAATTAGGAATGGGATGAAATTAAAAGTATCTTGCCATGCTAGAAGATAGTAGTTCGACCAGGAAAACGGTGAAGAGATCTTGATGTCGCGGTATAGGATGAGTCGCAGAAGGCGTCAACATGATACCTACAACGATTTTAAAATATATGCGGCTACGAGATTTTGAGTGCAAATAAAGTCTCATCCTTAGTTCACCTTTAATCGTATTAAATGCGCAAGCTTGTAAGAACCAGGGTTATGTTTCATTAAGGTATGTATTCGAGTTTATTGGAGGGGAGAGTAGTGGATTACCGATACCACACACTCTTGATCAGCTTAAGCAGCTTTTTGAGTGGTATGCCACAAGATGACGACCTGCTCTGACCACGTAAGATGAGAGAAGTAGTCCGAGTGAGAAGTTGGTTGACTTCCTCAAACGTGATGAGTACTAGATTATTAAGGTACGGCTTTCTACAACAAAAACGCAGCTACGACGACCACTATGGGATAAACTCAACTCCAAAAACCAGTCCAGAAAGCTGCAGGAGGTCATGTGCCGATGCCAAAAGCAGCTTAATGGAGGATGGGGTGACTCACTAGGGACCAGCTTGTTTCTCTCCAACATTGAGTTTACCTCGCGGTGACAGCGCACGAAAAATCTATCAAGAACATTTACTAGTTCGGCAAGCTGCAGTTTAACCCCTAGCAGTAACCAATCTAGTTGTGGGAGCATTTGATTTCACGAAACCATCGTTTCATGAATAAATCACCAACGGTCAAGTTTTGCTGTGATAAACAGTCTCTAACGTTGGAGTTCAGCGAGTCTACTCTAACGTTACATTCCTACGAAAAATTACGTGACGGTGGAGTAAGGACCCTGTTTTGACGAAAGTAATTTACTATGGGTAAAATGCATCGAAGCAGTGGACTCCGGGTCCTAATCTATCTTTGGAAAAAGATGCACATGTCTGTAAACACTCTACGATCGTTTTCAAAAGGACGCTATAATTGGGTGAAATTAACTACAGTTAGTAACCCACGCTTAATTGAACCTTACTGATTTTAACTGGAAAAGGGCCCACATTCGAAATCCACATTCAGAACCTTCCTTGTATTCTGACCAGTTAATAGACCGGTGACAATAAATCGACAAAATTCAGGGACTGGTGAGGCAAAGGGACGCCATGGGGCTGGATCAGAGGGGCAGGTCGCGACTGCGAAGCATGCCGTAAAAATGCGAGGTCGGGTCCTGGGCCAACTGACGCGGGGATCCCACTTCAACTATGCGGCCGAAACTCATCACTACAACGCGGGTGCACCCGCGAAGTACCGAAGAAAGGCGATGCGCAACCAGTATGACGGTGGAGCTGGCGAATTCAGAGGCCAGGACATTCTATAAACCAGTGTAGAGAAAACAATGTGTAGGGGGTATGCAAGCGTGTTCTTTTTGAAGCGCCACTGCCGCCCATTCGATATGTTTCTATCATGAATTCACAACAGGCACATCATATTAAGCAAATATAACGCAAAAGCGTTTACTAAAGACCCGTAGGCGCACCGTAGCTCTCACTTGAAAAGAGAGCAGTAGTATGCTGAGACAACTTTGCATAAAAACACAGAATTTGGGGATAATTCAGACCTGGCGCTCTAAACGAAAACCACAAGAAACTTTTAGGGAGGCAATACATTGACGGAAAAGTGGTCGAAATTTATACAAAGAACTTGTGCTTCTGATGTGACGCTAGTTTCAAAATGACCCTCGTTGAATTGTTCGAGTTGCTTCTTTCAAGTGCTACAGATCTGGACAGCTCAAAAAAATGAACGACTTGCTTTACTAAAAATCCAAGACGCTTGACATCACTAACTTAGTTAACAAATAGCATAACAACATACTACTGGTCTTCAAACAACCATTGGGCTTTCGTAAAATTGAGAATGCGGACAAGTAATTTCTGGGGCAAAAATATTGGTTGCTGAAACAGGTGTCAATCTGCAAAGTGGTCATGCAAAAGTCTTGGATCTGGAGAAAAAATATCACAATCAATGAGACGCGACACATGACAAACTAGGGAGCCCACACGTCTGGAAGCATTGACTCCAACTTCACACAACGCTGGGAATTGAGGCGTGAGACCTGGTTTTCTTGGTGGCATTAACACACACCTGCCTAAGTGGCTCGTTGTGAGACAAGTCTGCACTAAGGAACTCCAATTCACCCGGTTTACCTGGATTTTTTCCTCGCAGGCATCGTCGAGAGACGCCGTGGCCTCGTCGAGACAAACGACCGTCTGGCGGCCGGGCACGCGGCTAAAGAGGGCCCGGACCAGACAGAGGATTTGCCGCTGTCCTGCTGACAGACTTCGACCCGACTCGCCCACCTCGCAAGACAAAAGCTCCGCGGCCTCGCGGGCCTCGGCGGCTAAACCGCACTTGACCAGCATCTCGACCAACTGATCGTCCGTGTACGAGCTGAAATTTTCGTCACGGTGTTACTTAAAATTGCAAGTAGCACACTTTATTGTATGGAGAAGGAAGAGTTTATGAAACGGTCATAACACGCAATTATATTTAAAAGGATGCAAACACAAAGTACAAAGATTTCAGCGAAAATTCTTACTAAAAGATTGCTGGTAGCACAAATGCACTCAACAAAGACAGGTTAGATACCGGGAAAATATCACAATGAATAAATGATCGGTACGCCGACCAGTTTAGGAAGAGTAAAATTTAGTTTTTAGACATATTTTGCTTTAGGAAGCAGTGGCATATGGGTGAGCTCACGTGTAACCTACGCCCAAGGTCGTTGGTGCAAAATGAAACTATGCAAGTGAATTCTACCCTCTGTCCTAATTATACAAATCTCGCAATACTGTTAACTTTGACGGAAGAGGTCGGGATTTATGTGGCTATACGAATAACGACCGCTGCTCACCCGTCAGGATCAAGGTTTTCACGAACCGTGCCGGAAAACAGAAATGGATCCTGAGAAATGCACAGCATTCTGGAACGCAGGATTTGCAGTGGCAACTGACGTATATCCACGCCGTCAACCGTCACCTAAAAGTAAATCTTACAATTGAGCAAACTGCCGTTTATTAATCTAAGTAAGGATCGAAAAATGGACGTATTGGGCAGTGGAGGGAAAACGCATTCTACACAATCGTTAATGTATTAAGTCCATGTTATTTAAGTCACTTGGAACTGTCGTGACATTCCACGCCCCCCCCCAAAGTAAGGGGGTGTTCAACCACAGGGTCATGTTGCTAGCAGACACCCACCTTGCCGGTGGCCCCGTGGAGCTGCTTGATGTGGGCGAGCCGAGGGTCGATGGCGGGACCCTCAAGATGGGGCACAAGACGGAAGAGGACTCTGAGCAGGGAAGACTTGCCCGACCCGGTGCGACCAACAACGCCGACCTTTTCGCCCGGCTCTATCTCAAGGCAGACGCCATCTAATGCTAGCTTTGCAACCTCCGAGGCCGACGGGTAAGAAAGACAGACGTCGTGGAACACAACACGACCCGCCCTGGGCCAGCTCGCGTCAACCCCAGCCCACACAGGGGGCTCGAGACTCCGCAGATGCTCGCGGCCCGACAACTGACGGCGCCTAGGCACCTTAAAGGAAAATTAAGTGGCAATCCAGCTGAATGTGCTTAGAGAATAAGATTCGCAGTCTGATGAAAGGGCACTACATTGTAGTCAAGAGTTAACATATCCTTACTGAGTGTCAATGTATTTTGGACGAGATCACGTGAATGGCCTAGAATGTCCACGCCAGCGAACAGACTTCTTACAGGGTCTTGCGTGCCTCTTTTAACCGTGACATCATTTGGGCGGGGGCGGGAGTGGTTGTAATTCAAGGGGAACACGTCGGAAGACAAAATTACCATAATCTCTACGTCAACACAATTGCTGAGTTTGTAGTATATCATGGCTAACCAAGGAACTTTTATACGATTTAGACCCCAAAGGCGCATTATTTAAGGAAACCGTTCCTTGACCACTAGAGCTGATTCAGTCTTTACGTTTGAGCGCTTGAGATAACGTGTAGTCTGACCGAAAGCCCCATTTTGGAAAAGTTGAATTACGGTTGAGTTCAACTCTCCCACAAAATCGTCAGCTCATTTCACCAAAGGGCTGGTCTGGTCCGCGGTATAGTCGGTTTTATTTCTCTAATACTAGCTGACACTCACATTTTTAGAGGATGTCACTTCACGTGAATTCAGTCAAGCTGTACACAGACTATCAAAAATGTAAGTAAAACACACCACATGGCTTCGACTTAGAGGCCAACAATTAGGGGATGTAATAAATACTAGAGCTGCAAAGCCAGGGCTATGCAATAAACAAAATCGTAGTGAAATTCAATATAGGGAATTGATTTCAAAAGCTAGAATAAACTTTAGTCGGGCGAAAATTTTTTTGGTTTTTGAAAAGCTGTTCTTTTGCTGTAGCGCTTAAGGCTTGTCCTTTGGACGGCGTGTAATAGCGAGTTGGCCTCGCCGTCGAGCCAAGCCCTATTCACCGGACACAACAAGGCAAAAGGGAGTTTGGGATGGGGAATCGGATTCTTTTTTTTTTCGAATCAAAGCCATGAATTACACATGACAAGCCGATAGAATCGAAAAGAACTGAAACTGTGACAAATTGGCCCGGCACTGAAATGCGGTCTCCGATGAGACCCACCAGTGCTTAGTTTCACGCATTCAGCGATAGCAAAGTGCGAGAGCGAGGGTTATCTGTAAACCAAACAAACGGCGCGGTGCCAGTACGTGGGTTTGCGAGAGAATGTGCTGCTTCGCTTCTGAACACATAAACATGCAGAAAATGAACCTAATAGCTGCCGGCCAGATAAACTAGGATACTTTAGCAAATCTTTTGTGTATCCAAAAAATACTTGATTTGGGTTTGGTTAAACGCAGTTCTTTAGGTATTACTAGTGATGAGCTAGCACAGAGAGGTCTAACGGTGCAAATGGTAGATCAAAAAGGCCAACACTAGCATGCTTCAATTGGCAGAATTCGGTCCATCAATCTATGTTGGAGATTTGGATTGCCCTTAGGTCCTTAGAAAATATGCCACACACGGAGCACCTATTTACAGACTGAAAAGTTGTGTTTTTGTCCATAACAAAAGGTGCTATCGCCAGTTATGGAGTAACTATCCAAAAATGCCAAGTTCGAAGATTTATGAAGACATTTGCAAAGTTGGGAAAGCACGAACTTCGAGCGAATTGGTTGTTCTACTGGCCTTGATGTTGCGATAGTGATTAAGAAAACTGGAAGGCACAAAAAGAGTATTTCGACTTTAAGAGTGACGGGCGAAAGTGGCAAGTCAAGTAGTTGAAGGAAACTCACCACGACGGAGCACAAACCAACGTCAGCTTCAAGTGGCGTCTCTTCAGTCAACCCCCGACATCGTTCGACTGCAACGAAGTTTTTCTCCGTATCAGCCATCAGAGTTACCAGTGAAGTCATTGAATTGGCAAGCATTAGGGCGTAAATCACAGCCAGCCCAGCCAGACTCACCTGTGGAGGTAGTTAAAAGAGATACGGGTTCAGACTTTAGACGTAAAAAATTCACCTAAACGTTACAGGAATAATGGCTCTTGGAAAAGGTGACGCGACTATAGAATGCATCACAAAAATAAAGGGCTGCGTAATGCTACTTCTGTTTATTGAAGGCATTAGTTAACAAAGTGCCTACAAGGCGTTAAGCACTTACATCCATCCAACCGAAGGCTTGACCAAAAAGAGCAACGACAACGACGCCAACGATAACAAGCAGAGCAATGAACTGAAGCCTTAGATCGAGCCAGGCAGAGGCAGCAAGAGATGCTAGTGCACAGCGAGTTTGGTCGTTCAGCCGACTGCACGAAGTTGCACGAAAAGCGGCCTCTTCGCGAAGACCGCGGATCACCACCAGACCCGCGATCGTCTCCGAGAAGTGGGCGTACACCGGCGACAGGGCGATGCTAGCGCAAACCGACAGACTGTGTTAATGGACAACAACCAAAAAGGCGGAGGGAGACCCCCTGTGTCCCACGCTGAGTCGTCGAGCTTAAGACTGGCACACAAACTTCGATGTAATGGGAAATTGACAGACGACGTGACATGGATTACACCACTTGTAGACGCGTCTATGATAAACGCAAACAGAGGGACAATTGAGAACGAACCAAATTCTGTTCTGATACAACACTGTGAAAGCAAAACGTCAAAATCATGTCGTTCTAAAAAACTTAGACATTTTTTTACAATCACACATCCCCTAGGAAAAGTGGGTTAGTTGACAAAACCAACGCGACAGTAATTATTGCCTACACTAATTAGGCGGAGCCTTTTCCTGCACACATTTGCCGCAAAACGTCAACCTCCATCAAGCAGTATAAAAGGACCAGGGCCCGATCAACACACCACGGTTTGGCACGAATGGCCCTTGCTCAATTTTATTACCGTCTTCACACTGTTCTAATTGATATCCTTGTCACTTGTTCAGGACGAGCCGACACCTACTTCCTGAGCGTGAGTAGCAGAGTTTAAGCCGCCCACCTCATATTACCTTCAGTCCAAAAAATTAAAGCCAAAACTAACACAGTTCTTCTAACCTATTTCGCTAATGACTAACAAGCAAATTTTTAATGCCCTCCCAAAGACAAAGTACAACAAATTAGATAAACAGATACTACAGTTACCGAGACATAGTGTGTAGCATTTTATGTTAGGCGTTCGTTTGTTTGGGTGTGCTTGCATTTGGTGAGGGTTTTTACGAAACTTACAGTGGCCGACCAACCTTGTGGCACATCTAAAGGTCCCGTCCAAATTCGTGGGTATTGCAGTGTCAGACCCCAAGTATTGAAGTAACAGATCTGCTAATGTGGAAAGATACCTAAAAGCGTTTTGTTGCTTTCTCCTAAATTTAGTGATTGCAAGCTGCACTGTGAGTGAGAGCAGGGAAAACCCCGTGGCTCCAAAAAAATTTTCCCTCTATGCACTTCAGTTAATTAAACAAGACACAAAAATCTTAGAGCAACTTAAGTCGCGGTTCCGAAGGCGGAATAGTAACTTGAAATATTACCGGAAATAGGAAAATAAGAATTTTGACATGATCAAATTGCTGTTGGATACTCGGCTTCCATCACTGGCTTCAAAGCCAGGCGCAAATCCAGCAGTGTTGGATAGCAGCGATAGCTTCACTTGGGACTTAAGTCAGTAATAATATTCTAACCTGTGGTTCTCACTAAAGAACATTAACAACCCAATTCTCAAATAACCCGAACAATTATGGATAGATTACCTCTTCACTGAAGAGGACATTATTATTTCCAACTTCGAGCACATCGGGGGTTGGCGTTGTAAACTAATCCCACCCTGAGAGGTTGCAAGCAGAGGCAAATTAGTCTAGTTTCCACAAATCCTGTTAACTTAACGTCTTCGAAAGGGCTAATTTTGGGGCAAAAAGTAAGGAGTATGTCAATCACGGCACATTCACAGGTGTAAATCAGGTGAGTTCAAACTGAGACTTAAATTCATGTAGGTCTCAACAGGGCTGAGTTAGTGGACCCCGCCCATGTGCAGCTTTAGATTGGTCGCTTCCTGTTTTTATTTTAAGGAAACATGAGGTTTCCTTTCCAAACGTGTAGGCAATGTGCGTTAAGGCTGAGAGGTACCAGATTAAGCAACCCGATAGTCTATGTTTCATTGTAAGCAAAGTGACACACAAAATGTGCAGCCGGAACAGAGGAGAGCCGAAACAAAGACGCCTTACCTCGAGAGTCGTTTGAGGTCTCTAGCGGCGGCCCTGTAGACTCGCTGCACGGACCAGTAGACGAATAAGAGGGGCAGAAAGATTACAAGAATGGCCGGCATCGCTAAACACGTGACGACCAAGGCACCCAGCAGACCAAACACAACAGCCAAAAAGATGTTCAGAAGGAAGGGCAAACCGTCATCGATGGTACCCACGTCTGAGGAGAACCTGTTCAGAATCCGGCCCAGAGGTGTGACGTCAAAAAAGTGCATTTCACCCTACAAAAATTGGCGTCGTGTGTGAATGATGCTGCAACATAAACTAATAGATATTATCAATCCATCAAGCTGGCTAATAGGCAAAATATAAACATCTACAATGCAAGATAGTGAAGCGATCGGATGGGCCGGTAACATGTCACTTTTATTAATTTAAACTTCGAGTGCCTGACAAGGCCGCATATGTATCTAAGCTGAAGCCAATTCAAAATTTACTTAGTAACGGCATAACTCGGAGAAGCAATGTAAATCCCATATTAAACGAACATGGCAACCATAAACAGCCGTCGTTATGCTTTTTCAGTAGGCTCGTGTTAGCACTCCGTCCTCCAAGTTTCAATTCATGACCTGCGACTACAGGAACAAAGGCAAGACTTAGCACGCCATTCCAGTCCTGTTGCGGTCGTTATGCCACAGAAATAAAAACTGTCTTACGAGGTATGTAAGTTATATACATGCGTATATTTTCGTTGCTGAGATATTGAAGATTTTATGGAGCATCCATAGTTTTTGAGGATATGTCACCCCACCAAGTAGCCTTATCATGGTTCCATAAAATATGAAAGAATTAAACTAAAGAAAGGTAGTCAAAGAGCTTGAGAAGCAGATGTAAGTCTTTGTTGCCAACCTGTAGAACAGTGTCTAGCATGCGTTCGTGAATGGTAGCAGCTGCTGCAAGGCCAGCATAGGCAAAGAGGACCGAACGAAAAATCGTGAACAGGAGATTGGCCCCAATTATGCTCGCATAGACGGAGAGGTAAAAGTTTGTTGAATTTATAGTTGGAGGTCCAACAGTAAGTGTCTCGACAACGGGAGGAGTGTATAAAGCCCCGATGAGGGGGAGGGAGTGGGCTCCAATGTATTCCACCGAAGGAGAAGTAAGGTTAGATGGAGAGGGACTGCCGTTCTGCATCCAGTAAGAGAGCCAATAATCCAGACCATTTCGGCTGACTTTAAACAAATGAAAACACCTTTTTGTGTTGTACAAATAAACAATGTTCATCACACATAAGAAATATACTCCACGTGTACAATGACAACGTCGTTAGGTTTGCACAGTCATGCAGAAGGCCTATAACACTATTCCCGCCAACCTGCTTCTGAGCTATTTTAAACCAGTCGTATTAAGAAACACCGGGACTGTTCCTTACCTTGCATCAACATGAGAGAGATCAGCACACAAAGTGCGAGGCAGTAACCTACGGAGCGAATATACCATCTGTAGACCCGAGATGCGATCGAACCAAAGGCAAAACTTTCCAAATTGCTCGCATCCTCGTCTTTTATTGGTTTGACCCCCGTCCGAGTCTCCTCTTGTGTTGCTGGCAGCAAGGGCTTGCTGTCACTTTCGTTCTCGCGGTCTTCCTCGGACATGTAGTCAGGAGTGCTATATTGTCTGGAGTGTGGCACGGAATGATTTTGTTGTTCATCCGCCGAACTACCCAGTTTATTTCCAGGAGTCCATCGACTCACAATCCGACCTTCAGATAATGTAATGACTAAGTCGGCGGGACCACCGAAATTTTCATCCTTAATCATTAATTAGGTGACGAGAAAGAGGGGCAAATTTACCTCACTAAATAACCAATCAGGGAGATGTGTGGCAATAAATCTTGTTTTGCCTGCCAAAAGCCCCTGTCTACCAATGCACTTTTTTATAATGCCAGAGGCCACGCAAGAGTCCAAAGCTGCCAAAGGGTCATCAAAGAGGTAGACGTCGGCCCGTTGATAGATGGCCCTGGCGAGAGCCACCCGAGCCTTCTGCCCACCGGAAAGACAACTACCCGCTTCACCAACTTCTGTGTCCAAACCGGCAGGCATTTCACTTAAATCCTCCGTCAAACCACAGGCATCAACAACAGCAGACAGCCAGTCTGGTTCCAGTGATTTGCCAAAGAGGATATTGGACAGGATAGTGCCCTGCTGGAGCCATGGTTTAAGTCCAACGTAAGCAAAACGAGCACCAGTAGAGGAATCTTGAAAATTGACGGTTTGCAGCTCACCCATGAGAGCGAGTAGAAGAGACGATTTTCCGCATGCCACAGGTCCAACAATGCCCACTAATTGACCCTTAAAATGGAAAAGTAATGTGTAAATTCAAGTTACTTTCGGGACTGTTAAAGTTATGTCGGTAAGCGTCGGAGTGGTCATGGATGTCCAGTAGAAAGACGATGCTGTTAAATTCACTTCAAGATCATCCCGTGTTTGGGGGTATCCGATAGGCATATTGTCAGTGTTAAAAGCCGAATTCGTCGAGCCCAGGGCATCAGTATTTATTCTGAAAAGACGACATATTCTTCCAGCAGATATCAAAGCCTCGACAACACCATTAAGGACCCACGGAAAGGCGTTCATTGGACCGATTAGCATATTGAAGAGAGCCAAACTTGTGAAAACCTAGGATTGCCAATTTTAATAATAGTATGAGACCCACCTTTGCAGGTCTAAGTGTGTTACCTAGTGCTACGTAAGTTGCAAATGTCGATCCGGCCAGTATGGATGGACAAGCAGCCCAAAGAAATACACAAGCCGCATCCAAGAGCTTTTGCCCTCGCAATGCGTTTAATTCAAAATGTCTACTGCTAAGAATTTTCCGACGCATAAGAAATTCCCAGCACGCCAACTTGATGGTAGTCATGCTCTGAAGAACTTCAGACAAAATCTAAAAAGAGAAACTTCAAATAGATCTTAACAGCAAATATCGTGAACACGTGATTCTAAAAACTTACTTTAACACGTAGATCTTTGTGGTGCATCAAAGCCGAAGAATACTTTCCGATGTAATTTGTGAGTAACTTATTTAATGGTAACAGAACAACCAAAAAAGCTACTCCAACAAAACAGGAAAAGCCAACTTGATAATAGAGTAACCAAATAGCCACAATCACCTGAACAGGCATAGCCCACACTTCATTGAGGCTAGGAGTTAAGTTGACAATGCGCTCAGTATCAGACGTGAGTAAATTAACTAGATTTCCAGTGCTAAATTCAGATAACGTGGACATTTTATGCCTTAGCAGTTGTCGGTATACAAGGCATGTAATGGAAATTTTTGTTTTGAGACCAAAGCGTGCAGTCCAGTAGCTGTATGAAATGTCAAGGAAGATGGTTACTAGACGAGAGGCAACCAGGGCGGCGCCCCACAAAGCGGCTAATCTCCAGTTAGCCTGAAAATCCGTGAGCTCTTCAATAAATTTGTTTAGAATAACTGGGCTTGACAATGTAAGGACACTGAACACAAATTTAATGCACCCAAGAACTGTGATTTCCCTGCCGAATTTCGTAAACAACTGCTTGACAAGAGGGAACGCCGATTTGAATTTTGAATTGGTTGTTGTTGGCAGTAGATCCGCATCTAATGCAAATTCTAAAGTTGTGGTGCATAGAGAAGCGGGAAGAGGAGGAAGAAATTTTGTCGAAGAAAGTTCTCCATAGAAGCCTTTCGAAATAGTCTCGTTTATCCAGGTGAAAAGTAGTTTTCCAAGGCAACCCACTGAGGATTCCGAACGGGATTGGTATTGGTTTGATATGTCCAGAATGTTTGATGATTGGTCAGGGACAGCATTGTTGACGTTACGAATTAATCGAGCCCTTTGAATCCTTTCATTTTCAACAGGAAATATTACTGGGACTTTAGTAAGTAAGTGGCAGCCGAACGCAATCGAATCAAAAAGAAGACCGACTAAAAAGACACCATGGCTTGAGAATGGCAATTGAGATAGACCGGACCATAACTGCAAACAAGTAGTGTAAAAGTATAAAACTTCTGCAAACAATACTAACGATGGCCCACGAGAATGCATAAGGTTTGTTTTACCAAGAATAAAATCAAAAAGTGTCCGGCAGGTAATGCAAACCATGGCTGATCCAAGGTGAGAGGAAAACATGAATGGAGACACAGTAATAGAAATTAAAAAGGGAGACAAACAAAAGGAGATTGTCAACAAGCACTTTGTTATAACAGCAAGGTCCAGAAATATTCGGATTACAATAATTTTCGCTAGGGGCCACTCGAAAACAAGGGAAGGAATCATTCGAATAGCATGCACAACCAAAATAATGGACAATATGATTGCTACAGGAGTGTGCAAAAAGGCCTCACTAAAGCAAAATCCAATCTTTCCACCTTCCCAAAAATCAGACGACAGATTACCACAAAATGGTTGCAAAAATGAAACATCCGACATATTACAAACGCACTTATTTAGAAGTTATAATAAATATATCCAAAAAACAAAAGGTTGAACTCGAAAAGATTCATTGCAGGATAAAAGTCCAGAGATTATTGGCAGACGGCAGTGGCCACACAATATCATACAACACCCTACTGGTCACTTCAGAATACCGTATATTGTTTACACAATGCGGTTTTAATTTTGATCAACCTAGAACAAGGCTGTTGAATTGGACTATTCAAACACGCACTATTTGACAAACATTAAACTGAGTAATTACACTTTATTTACGCAACATTCACGCTGATTTTTTTGTTTATATCAATTTTAAAAATTAAACATAACTAGTACGCTAGTAAAACCCACTTATATCTACAAAATGAAAATTTAAAAAGTAAACAGAATAACTAACCTAATTCACAACAATCGATCACGTTTGGATAATAAGCCATGTTCCTTTGAAATACTGATTTAAATACAACAAATCTGTTTCATGCTATTGGATGAAATCAAAACGTTCGTCTAGTTACATTGCCCAGTCGTTTCCTAACAGGTAAAAAATAAAGCAAAAAACTAAAATCACCTCATTACCCCTATCCAGTACTTTATAAATTTGCTAGCTATCCGATAGCAATATAAAAATGTATTGAAAAGTTGATTTTATGAGACTAAAGGAGGGAAAATGCATCGGAATTTGGCTAAAATGCGTAGTTAAAAGAGACAATGCTATCGACATGGAGGTGCGTTTGCACCGTTCCACTCTGCTTCTCCTCGATGCCAAGAACACGGTGCTAATGTTCAGCGAATTCTCCAGTTATTTATCCCGAAGGCTTCAGAAAGCGTCCATAGGGGTGCCGTGGTGAGCATGCAGCTGTGGAGTGTCAACGAAGCCCGCGGCGAGCTGCTGCTGTTCGGGTGTCATCGGAGGCAACTTAGGAGTAGGTTTTTTAGATTGAGTAGATCTTAGTCATATCTCCCTCACAGTCAAACAGTGTGCCAATATCACTCAAGCCAGTGCACTAGTATACAGCAGGTGATTAGTTGCACGTGAATCGAATGAACTCCGAAACAGTCCAATCACTAGCTTTCCAAAAGACAAAAGCAGCTACAACATCTGTGACTTTGGCAAGTGGCAAAGTGAACTTGCCTTTGGTAAATCTCGGAGTGGAGCACCCTGGAGGTGCGTGGTGGCACGGATACGAACAGCGGTGAGGGTGCACGTGCCGGTGCGCTGGTGACTGCACCACCCTGAGGTGCAGTCTGTGCCTGGATCGCGGCCACCGTGGCCGCTGCCATTGGTTGGGGCACCACTACAGCGTAACCACAACCATCACAAACCAATTGTTGGGATGCCTAATATCACGAGTTACCCAAAAAAGATGAAGTCGGTAAAATGACGGAGAGTTAAACGTTTATTCGAGAACTTGACGAAGACATGGTTTTTGTGTTGGGTTTGTGCGTGTGTATTTATACCACGGATGTGCGAGTCATACATGTGCTAACATCAGGACCTAGGTATTAGGTTAATCCAAGATACATTTCCTTTTGAATGAAGGGGGAGTTGAGGGTTTGCACGGATGACGCCATGCTGCGAAAATGGAGAGCACTGTGTCGGAGGCGAATTGATCGGATTAAGAGGTTGAATAAACACGATTCAAAACATACTCTTGCGTAACTCACCCGCCTTGTCTTTGTGTTCACTATGAGGAAATTGAAATCCGTTTGTTGGTGCACAAAGTATCTAACGGATGTTTTCATCTGCAAATGTACCATGAAAAATGGGTTTTAGAAAAATTGATAAGGCCTCGTTGATATGTCTTTTGAGAAAATTGAAGTCATGTATTTTTAGCTAAGGCGCGAGAAATTGCGCACTTCATAAATTTACTGACATGGAGACCTAGGTGAATGCTATCAGACTAAATGATAATCATGGGTAATCATTTTCGTAAATTAGGTGTGATGTATGCTTCGGTCCGATCACGTATTGCTGTGAATTGGGGCAGTGTGTCGTCGAAGAGAACGGCGCAATTAACGAGATTCCCTACACATAATGAAGCAGTTTGACATGTTGCAATCAGGGGAATAAATTTTTATACACCCCGCAGGCAGACAAGAAATAAAGGGGCATTGCATGAAGAATATCAGACATTATTTCAACGAAAAACACTAAGAAATTAATATTGTCAACATTCAAAACCGATATCATTTTTTTTACAAAAGCCCTCTTTTAATTTAAATGAATTTGGCTAAATAAGTTATAAAAAGATCAATTACTTAACAAAATGTTTTTGAATTAAAAAAAATTATCACTTAAAAAATATTCAAAGATTTTCACAACACTGATAGTTCTGGGCCAAATTGATCCAGATTTCGATAAGCATTAAGATTATACCTTTATTGAATTTTTCGAAAAATAAATACTTTATAACAATTATTGATTGGATGGAATATCTTGTTGTAAATTGTGATAGTTGTTTAAATAATTTCCACGTAAGTCTGTCTTATTGAATTGGCTGTTTACTCTGTAGTGTATGGACTTGTATTACTTTTTACTTGTTCCAACCACTCTCATTGTTTTCTTAATATTGTACACTTTAAGCTGGGTCGGAAAATCCTTATTCAAAAACAATTAAGATTTTTTTAAAGCCAACTTTTGAAGTAAGCAATTCTTCTGGTTATAATTTCGTTTAGCATGAAGTTATTTAACTTGTATATTTTTGACTCTCGTGGAAATAACATATTTTACAAGGAATGGATATCGTTGAAGACATCAAACACAAGGGAGAATGACGCAAAACTAATTAGGGGAATGCTTGTTGGACTCAAGGCCGTCTGTTCTAAGCTTTCTCCAACTGAGAACAATATACATACTCTTTCTTACAAAACTAGTCATTATCGTCTTCATTATTTTGAAGGACCCACAGGAATAAAAATTATTTTAAATACTGATCCCATGGTAATGCCTCTTGTAAAAGAATTGGAGAATGTATACAAGCTATACGTCGAATTCGTCGTAAAATCACCTGGATTTGATTCTTCTGTGCCCGTGAGTAGCTTACTTTTTTCACAAAAACTTGAAGAATGGATACAGAATCTATAATAGGCCTGTGTTTCTTTTTGTTATCAAGAAGTTATTTCTGTTTCTATCTTTGTTTTCAAAGTGTCGGGTGCTTGGATTATGAAAGCAGTCCCCAAATTTTGTGGGTATCAACGCTACCGCATGCTTTCATCATCCTCCATACAGAGAATTATGGGATGATGTTGATTAATATGCTATCGCAAATCGATAAACATACGTACACATTGTTAATGTGGTTAGATTTTCTAGGTGTAGTCCTCTCACGAATGAGTTTAGCATATGTTGTAGACTGGTTTCTTAGAGCTATCAATTTTTGTGTATGATTCTTAAGGACTTTCTTAAGCATATGGAAAATATAGTCATGCCATGTACTATGATTATGCACCACTGTGTTCTACTGCGAAACACTTGCGATTGCCATTGCCTCGATTAAGAAAATTGCGTTCATGTATTTGTCGGCGGTCACTAAACCCCAAGCCTGCCAGTCTTTCGTCCATTGTAGCGTTTAAATTCTGGTCGCTTTTTAGAAGGTTATGTTAACCAACTCTGTTGAAGTTGAAGACTGCTGGAAGACGAATTTAATTGAACTTTACAAATCATATTTACAGTTGGAATCAAAACGGGTGTCCGTCATTCCTTAATTTACGCATATTTCGTAAATTTCAAGGTGGGGAAGTCGCAAATAGTTGTTCGATTGGGTAAGCGTAAGCTTAGTGACTTATACTTTACAAAAAAAGTTTTGCAAAGACTACTCGCCTGAGGATTTTTGCCGAACCAGAAAGCAGACTGTCTCTGTGTACTTTTAACACCTAGAAAAGTGTTTAATTGGATTCATAAAAATGTTATTTCTCTAGTATTTTAAATAGCACACGCATTTTTGGGCGCTTGCAAAGCAAAAATGGTGTCTGGTCAACCTCCAAACGAGCCTCTCTACTGGCGTGTAAGAATCATCATTAAAAAATGAGCGTTCGCTTCTGTATAACCTTCGGGTTCACTGCACCGGATTTTATCCCTCACTGAAGGCTGCGACGTTCCACCGATTGATTTCTCAAGTTAGTTGACAGAAATTTGTAGGGCTGTAGACAAACCGTCCAGGGTCACTTCAAATTGTGTCATAAAAAGTGAGCTACAAGAAGAATGTTTCTTCGCTTACCAACATCTTTGATTAAATTAACGTTAACACCAAACAATTTTGATTCGGAATGCGATACTAATGAGGTATGTTATCATCGATAGTTGCCAGCAATTGGCCCGCTAGATCACTTCCCCAATCTCACCAGCAAAAATGTGTGACTTAAGGCGTATGGCCTCTATCGCTTTTTACGCTTTGTTAAATCAATCCCTTGGATAAACATCAGGCAAAGGGCTTTCCACAATTTGAGCATTTCAAGGTGTTTGTGATGGTGTTTTAAATTCGTTAATCTTTAGGGCAATCCGTTCTACCAATCAGTTTTCCCGCCAAAAATGAGGCATTTTCTTTCCCACGTTATATTTTGTGACCACATGGGGTGTTGACTATTGCTGCATTGACCTTCATTCGAATAGTTCTATTTCAATAAAATATTGTTGGTGTGGAATTGTGAACGTCTGCTTTGATTATTTTTCGTCTCTTCGGCAAGTCAAAAGGAGGAATTCCGTTTAGTTTCTCCTGCACTGCCTACGACTTAGGGTGGACCTAATATCCGGTAACCACGAGTCCCTGTAGAATCCATGACTTGTGCATTCTTGTTACCATCCGCAACTCCCCGGTCAATGCCTCAGATCTAGTCTGGTGACTCTACCTTACTCTCAAATGGGACAGACCATATGAGCGTAGGCATGGACTTGATCACCAAGCTCACACGTGGATTGTAACCTACGTTCGTTTTTCCACTTTATCGTGTGACAAGTTTAAGTGTACTGGTGAGGCTATCAGAACACGGTAGTTAGTGCTAATGAGGTTTGTCAAGCGTTTGTTTAATTATTGTAACTTTTATGGTCAGCGTTAATTGAAATTGATTTCGTGTGACGTGAGAATGTTTTCGTAATACATAAACTTCGTTTACGTGCTCCCACGTCAGGCTGATCGAAGAATAAAATGGTAAATTCGCCGATTTTGTGCGAATTATAGATGGAGTTGGAGTCGTAAATAAATGTATAGCCCAAATATCTTTAAAGACCAACCAGGTACACTTATTTGCCCGATTTGTGGAAAATTATATCAGCCCCCAAAATTGACGCCAATATTATTTCCATAGTGGTGCTGACTACTTGCATCTTTTAAATTCTATCCAAAGAACAGACAGTGCTGGTTTTCTAGTGTCCTAATGAGAGTGAAATTGTTCGATTCCTCTTTTGATTTTTATTGTTACGCCAATTTTGTTTCCTTTGTTTTGTTTTCTTTAATTGGTTTGCAACCATTATACTGGCCTTAGGGGTCCTAGCGTTACTCACCGAAATCAACAAAAATATTTACCAGACTCATACATGTGTCCTTCACCTACAGCTCAGAAGAGCTACGCATGTCAATTTTCAATTTAAGGAGTCGACCAAGCATCTCATTCAAATCTGTCAACAAGTGTTCCTGCTTTTGTGAACATTAATGCTTAACTTCAACCCAGAAGTTGCACCTCATTGAATCATGGTTTACGTGGGGCTGGTTTTTTAGTTCCAAAGTATTCATTAGATTACAAAATTCATTCTTTTGTCCTTGCACCTATTGGGTTATTAAACGTGCTTTGAAGGACACCGATTTTAGGCTGTACATTCAGCCGCAATGTCTACAGCATAGGGAGCAATTACGACCAAATCGATAATATAAACTTGTTGGTAATTGTGCATTTCGAGGCACTAATGTTTACACCTTCGCGCTCTGCGAAGCTGCTGCCTGTAAGGATTTCAGGACTAAGGATATTTGGCTTCGTCAAAGACAAAGCATAAACCATATCGGACGTCGATCGGACGCTATGGGGCTTTTGTCTTGAACTGCATACCTTATCTTGGGATGCAATAAATATTCGCAAGATTTGCGGATGGAAGAAGTAGAAGATTCAACAGATAGTTTGTAGTTGGTTTCAAGACAATTTCGTACAAATGAATAAAAGTGAATGCAGCAAGGCTTTTGACAGTAAGCTAGACTAAAATTTGTGGCAACAAACACAATAAAGGAGTTCTGGTATAAAGGCCGTGGAGACATTGGCTGCATCCTGGCAATTTGACGTGACGACTCCTTTACCAGTTATGATTTTAAGGGCACGGAGCTACTTGGCAGGCATACCATCCCCGTTTCAAAGGAGCAAAACGGATTGCCGACCACGCCTAGATCATCTGAACTTCTACTGTGATGCCTTTAATGACTTTGAACCACGGTATGGTAGGCTTTAAGAGAATCCTAAAGGTCAAACCCGAACAAAAACATTGCCTGAGATTTTTCTGAAAATCTTAACCCTGGGTTTGCATGATTTTCAGCTACCTTTCCCTTCAAACGCACTAACCGACCATAATGCAACTTAACGGATCAGTCACTACCTCTTAGCATCACCAGTTCACTGAACGAGCTACTTTGCCGTGGACACCTGTCCTGCTAATCTTTGACGTCTTGCTTCATACTAAACCATTTATTTCCTAACCTCATCGCATGTATCAAAGACGAAAAAATCGTAATCATTATTCGAATATCGAAAATTGCGAGGGCCTACTAGTTGGTTAATTTTCCAGGCGGGCTCTGGTATGCGGGTGGGGGCAGTGAACTAGGGTGAGTGTGCTTGTGTGACATAGGTGTTTGCTTTGCTCATTCGTAACAGCATTCGATTGTTTTAGTGACGCTTAAAGTGAAATCAGTCTTCAGTAGTGGTGGCTTTACCAGTCTCCTCGTTGTCTGACAGTCCTCCTTTCTTTTCCATCTTCAAATCAGGTCGCAGCGTTGCAGGCGGGTGACTGTACTTTGTGGGTATAGAGAAACGCATAGGAAATCGAGGGGACGTAGCATCGATTTTCATTAGGCCTCCGTCACTGTGTTTCCTGGGCGAGTCCGCAGGAGGGGAACCAGGGTACGAATCACAGGATGAGTCATTAAAACTGGTCCCGTCAATGATCGACTGACGATTGATTACTGGGGAGGTGGTCGCACGTGAATTCGGACGAGCAGCCGATGCACACCCACTACCGCCAATGTCAACGATCGATGCCAGGACGGAAGCGCGGGTTGCCTCTCGAAGGTGCGAAATATGACGATCCCAAGCCGTTTGGAAGAAATCCTGGCTCTCACCTTGCAACGCGGACACGAAGCAAGAATCTTTGTGCCCACGTAAAGCTACCGATGAGGGTTGCTTCAGATTATTTTTGTCGGTAACTCCACCAATATCATAACTGCCTGGATTCAGCTCGGAGCCTTCTCCAAGTGGCTCCATCGCGGCTAGACCTAAAGGTTTGAAAAGTTCGACCCTAATTTTTTGAACCTTAATGAAAACCGAAAATCTCGGTAGCAAACTCTAGGCCACGCATCACTCTTAACACTTGAATGGTTTGGCATCAGCGGATACGAAGTTCTATAAAAAGATGGTTTGACGACACAGCGCCCATATCATGAATGTTTAGGATCCGTTTGGCTGGACAGAATTTAAATAATTTTAAAAACTGGCGTGCAACGTAAGCTGTTCGATCTACTACATTTTGGTTAGATAAAATCGCCAACACAGAGATATAGCGAGCCAAAACGTCCCACAATCCAATATGACGTGTTTGCACCCAAACCCTTCATTTACGGGTTTGCGTTGACTTCTTCAGTTTGAATTTGCAATTGGCAATCGAGCGCCAGTATTATCTTGCAGTGAAAACCGGGCTTATTGGGTTCTGATGCATGAACCAGAGGATGCGGGTGGAGACCAACACTATGGGACAGTTGAGGGAGCTGCGGAGCCAAGAATGAGTCGTCATGTCAAAAAATCAGTTGGCCAAATTAGCTGAATAAATAACGCATTGAACTCTCATAACCTTTGAAGCGGCATAGCGAGGATTAAGCAAAAATTAGCACCGTCGATTATTGGTAGTGCGGCTATGTTGCTTTAAAGGAAAAGAATAATGCAGTGCTGAGAGTTGCGTTAAACTGAAAAAAACTACGGAGCTTTTGTGACACCTTACTCCAGGAGTTGTTCTATATACTCAAGTCGTGAGTTGTTTTGCAAAAATGCAAAAGTGATTTATGGCTTGGCAGAAGCATTTGTCATTTTCAGTTTGATCTTTTAGAGCCCTGGGTGCCGACACAGTCCACCTTTCGGGGGATTGTTAACTCCAAGCTAGTGAAACGAATAAAGATAAACATAAGGGGAAGTGTGAACTCGAACAATGGTTTATTGAATTAAAACTGCACAATTCTCAGGTAATTCCGAACAAATGTGAATCCTGAAATCGCCTAAATAGTAATACTTCGAGTACCTAAAACAGAGGGGACTGCTGCGTCAGTCAAGAAGTAGGCACACCAACCCGATTCAAAGCGAGGAGAGGCAAAGCCGATCAAGTTCGATAAGCGACGACTGAAGCATAGCAAAGCAAACCGAAGACAAGTAATCTGGAACAAAAAGGCCGCAACCCTACCCGCGCCACTTAGCTGAACGCGTTCGTACAATTAAGTTTGTTGGCCCACGTGATCGGTCCTTGAGCAATTCTCTTCTTTCAAACAAATTCTATTTGCCTTCAAATGCCAACCAGATTTAGATCTCAACTGAGTGTCCTGTGACTCGCTGATGAGGCAGAAATAGTTGTGAACGTGTTTTTGGGTTTATGCAAGTCAGCACATTGTTGTACCGTACACATCTAGACTCTGCCAAAGTACCCGCTTGGTACCGATTTATTAAGACCGTCTTGCAAACAGTGTTTATGAAAAGTTCACGGACACCAGAACGGGCATCCATGAAAATTCCGAATCTGACGATTTGGAGGTAGTTGGTTGTGTGCGGAAAAAGTGCACTTTCCAGACATTACAATGCGAAATTGCTCAGAACTGTTGATTTACCTCGATTTTAACAAGCCATCGGAACCCCCAATCATTGCGGTTTAGACGACACTTTACACTAGGCATGGAACACGTAGATAAAAAACAGCATCGCAAGGGGATCATCGAAGACCTTGTAGTCGCAAGTAAACCGTTCATATTGAAACAGAAGTAGCATATAACTACTATGACTTCGTGAAATAAATTATAAGATACTTGGAACAAGATGATGGAGCCTGAGGCCCTATTATTAATCAGCCATAAATTCAAAATTACTTGACGGTGGTATCGACGGTTGAAAAAAAATATTAAAAATAAGTTGTCGCCGTGACACGATCGACTTGACGTGAATCCGAGTGCCTAGGATCCACCGTGCAAAGTTCGAGCTTGAAACAAGGCCCAAACGAAAATAAAGTATTAGGCAGTCGAAAACGTTTGTACCAACACATCACATTGAATATAGCAACACAGTTTCCGGAAGACACGAAGTAGAATTGCAAACGCAACTGAAGCAGAACACGCAGGCGCAAAAGCAAAGTCCGGGCGGGGCAATAAGTAGAGACTAGCAGGTTTGCAGGCCATTAAACCCAAGACCACACAGGCTTGCGGTCGTTTTCCGTATAGTTTACATTAGAGGTCATGTTACGACAGCGATTAAAAATTTAAGGTGACAACCTTTGTATGTGGAACGAAATCCGTGCTTTAGAACCAATTTCGAGGGTCACCGGTTGGGTATGGTTGCCCTAGAATGTGCCCGAGTCCAAAAAGTGAAAACACATACAAGCAAGGATGACAATGCTCGCCCAGCCAAACTCAAAAAACGTCAACTGCATGCTTTGGTAACGGGCATAAAAACACCAACACCGTCAACACCCACCAGCAACTACTCAGGTGTTGCTGATGTCATGACCACACCTTCACTGGCCGATTGGGCGTCAAACACATCATCAAGTATGTTCTGTTGGCTCGGTGAAATTGCTTCCGGGTCTATCAAAGCGAATAGAAAAAAATTCTTGACGAAAATCTGTGCATACCAGCGCCCTTAAAACATCTTACTTAACTAGATCCCTCTAAAATGATAAATGAAGCAGATAGTTAAACTGTTGACTTAGGCGCAAACCATGCCACCTTGAAACAACATGTAACATTGGAGGAAAAAGACAACATTTTTCAATCATCCGAAAAAGGAATAGGAAACAGGCCTCTCAATAACGTGGCACTTTCGATTTTTCTAATCATGGTCGATTCCTAGAGGATAAAATAATGGGTCCTATAAAGAATTTTAAGAGGAATTTATGGTCGCTTAAGGGGTTTACGACCTATCAATAACATCGCGGAGACCGTAACTCCACGAAGTAACTTATTGAGAATTACAGTCTGCTATCCCAGCTAGAGAAACAAACAGGACCTCAAATAACCGATTGGTGACGCAGCACTTCGAGACTGTTGCCTTTGATACATTCGTGGATGGCATTCCACTGTCACTGAAAATATGACAAAGCATCCTTATCACTATGTGCTGAATTGCTCAACATCATTGACGCGCAATTCGTTTAAAAACAAAACTATCCGAAGAGCTGACGGGGCCTCAGTTTGCTCCTCAATGGATTTTGAATTCTCGATGCCCGAATAAGCGCTTACCTTGAGGGTGCAACTGGGTAACCCACACGGTGAGTCGGCGTGCCAAGAGGTAGTGCTCTGCAGTGATTCGAAGATATTCCACGTTGGTCACGGCTCGCACAGTGTAATCGGGCAAAAAGCGTGCTCTTGCGGCGAGCTGGGCCGACTGGAGCTCGGGATCCTTGAGACTAGAGACCTCTGGATAGATGTCGTTCACGTCTAAAAAACACACGTGTCTGGGCAACAGTGCCACTCCGGAAACTGCACTCACTTCACGAATAAGTCAAAACGTGGTTTGCTTGTGATACATAACATTGCCTACACAACACACCATACATTCGTCGTAACAGCTAATGGAACGGGCCAAAGTGCGGCAAGGGTAACCACACGGTGCATGTAAAATTTTAAGATATTTTACAGTACAATAGACGAACAGATGCACAAAATGCCCCATATTGACGTTCGGGCAAATGAAATATACTTCCCTACCACTTCGCACAGTGACTTGACAACGAATGAGTTTTCATGGAATCTTTCGAGGCAAATTCTTTGAAAGAATTGTACTAGACAAATTGATGCGATCAGTTTTTATTAACATGCGTAGATATTTTAATTACAAAAATGGTCTTAGTTGACCATGATATAATCCCCATTTCCTATTACAGTCTCCCAACGATTACCGCGTTTTTAAACTCCTTCCTTACACAAGCTGCACGGTTTCGCCTCAAAGAAAGTCCGCAATGTAGTTTTTTGACTTCTGCCATAGCATCAGGCCTTTTTGTCATCCCAAGTACTTTGCAGGATATCAGGGGAAGTGTGGCAGGTGGTGGGAAAATTTCCATTTTAACTTTCCCAGTCTTTGCAGTGTCAGTTGAGCGGCATGTCCTATAGGCTTGTCTTGGAAATTTCTTCAACTCCAACACTCTCCCCCTTTTTAAATTCATGAAACACAACATGACGAAAATGTAACCATTCATATTCCATGCTGAATATTAACGCTGCAAACAAATTATTTTCAAAGGTTGTGTTGACTAACGATGAATTTAGAGAACCGTCAAGTAGGAACATGCTCATAAAAAAACATTAAGAGTCAAAAGTGCATGCCTCCACCAAACACTAGCAATGAGAATCCACCACTTTACGGGGGATACCTAGCACAACAACGGTGAGGTTCACCAGGGGCTAAGTATAAAATCATCCCTTGTTGAAGTAGTTGAGGGGCTTCATATAACGGCGCTTGGATGACGATTAAGAAAGTGCAGATTGTCAATTAGAATGTTGGTTTACAAGCGCACCAATTTCAACTGTTTGACTGATTGCAAATCCAGTGCAATAGCAATGGGAAAATAGCAGGTGGGAAGTAGCCCCGCTACGAGGAAAGAGGTGCTTTAAAAGCAATCTGGTCTGCATGCATTAAGTTTAAAGCGTTTTGGTGGTATGTCAGAGCAAACAGCTGGTAAACGAGAGACCGGAAAGAGCTTGAAAAAGTGAGGCAACGGGTATACAACTGTCCACAGTATCATGGTGAGCCACCCTATGCCCTGATTTTGGTCAGTGGAGCAGAAATTACAATAGTTGCGTGTTGTGCTGGGAAGGGTGAGCTAGAACACAAACTGTAGAATTTGGCCCGGTTGCTATAACGCCCATTACAATAGAGGCTAAGTAAATCAAAATTGTTTGAGGTTGCTCCGAGCAGCAAGCGAGCACAGTTAGCAATGGTGAGCGAACGCAACAGCAAGTATGAGCGAACGTGATTCAATTGGGTTACGTGAATGCACTCCACGCAACTCTGTCCGTTCAATGACCGATGCTTAACGAAGCTATATAAACGCACACAAACGCCGCTACCGCATCAATAAATAACTTGAGCTACGCGCCACCTGCACTTTCTGCTCTTCTTTCGGTTGGGCCGTGTCGGTGTATATCGCGGGCCTCGGTGTGGCTCCCCAAAACCGTGCTAGGGCGCCGCCACAAATGGTGACACCGCTATTGAACTCGTTTGGCCTTCGACAAGCTAAAAATCGGCGTTTTGCTTAGATGGCCTATGAATCACTCTGACTCATGTTATTCGGCGTTTCATGTTCCACGAAAGTCACCCCTCAAGCAATTCTGCCATCCTTCGAATCTTAACGCGTGACCGCTGCACTTATACGTCGCCCAACTCTTGGTCCTGTCTCTGTCCCATCGATCAACCCAGCTTTCACCCTATACGCTCGCCTTTATCAGCCTGGCCTCGTTTACCAACTTTCGCCTAACTCAATCACGTATCGTCTTTGGTCCCTATCACCTCCCGACGACGCCTAATCTCCGGCAACTTTCTACTCTCCTGACGACGCCAAATCTACGGCAAGTTTCTATTATCCTGACGATGCCAAGTCTCCGGACGCTGCCTAGCTTTTTGACGATGAACATCTATTCCTAACACATACCGCCCACAACCAATCATCCTAACCTCATCACTCGACTCTCGTTTTTCTTATTTTGGCCTCATCTCTCGACTAAACGACCTCGACATTCGATGCTTGCTTGGCAAGTCTCTTCGATCCATTCTCGGCTTGGCTCTCGAATCTGAACTAAGTCGTGAAGCCTCAACTATCTGACGCTAACGCTCGAGCGTCACGCGCCACCTGCCTTGCAGTCAACCTTTCAGATATCCCGCTGGAAGAAAAGGTTGTAGCTCCCGCAGCAAAATACATCTCGAACGATTATGCAAACTGTTTCAGTTGCCATCAGGCTACGGCGATTCGCCTCATTCGTTCAAAGACCGATGCTTGGCGAAGCTATATAAACACACACACACACACCGCTACTACATCAATAAATAAGTTGAGCTACGCGCCATCTGAATTGTCTGCCGTGCTACAAGGTCGACTCATTTTGTGAAGACTTTTGCACCACAACTTCATTGACAAACCCGAATAAAGAAATGAGACATGATTGCTTAACAAGTCCTAACGTTCTATGCTGAGGAACATAGTGGTGCATAGTAATTTTTTATTTACGGTGGCTTTCTTTAGCGAATCAAAGTCAATAGGAGGATCGGATATCTAGCTCCTTATGAAACAACCGCCAGTACAAGCAAGCGAACTAAAGCCTGCATTAGGTACAATAAGCGGCTGTAACACACTACAGCCCTAGTAACAAACAGTTGCAGTGCATTCACCCATAGCCCGTTTATGCGGAGTCTGACTTTTGTATCGCCACCAATGGAAGATTAGCTAGCTATACGGAGGTACGGTTTTATACTACGTTCGGTGGTGGGCACGTTAAGCCCAAGCGCTTTGTCCAGGGAGGACCGAAAGCAGTGGTGTAAGCAGCAAAGAGTTTCGGACTGCTTACAATAAAATAACGTACCAGCGACACTGTAAAAGGCCTCTAGACCCATTCGGCGATGCCCTGACGCCTACTATACTTATCTCGCCCGCAACAGCCCAAAAGTAACGTTCGTGCTGGCGATGACTGTTGAGAGAGCTTCAATTTCACTAAACCTAAACACTGGTCCTAGGACTTAGCTACGCACAGCTGCAGGCTTAACCAAGTTGGTTCATCAATCACTACACGCTACTGCAATTTATCTACCCTTACTCACAGGTCTAACCGCCAAATTAAGGGAATGCGAATCTAGGTTGGTTCACACCCATAAATGAGGGAACCACCTCCGTATGTCCCACGAAGCGCAATCAGGCCGTCAAGAGGGTTTGAGAAAAACGTGTGTTCCCGCCCCTTCACCCTTCATCATTCTCATTATGTTACTTGCCCGTACTCACCCTGCTAAATGGCCGGTAAAATTCCGTACCTTATCAACCACATAGAGACCTCTACGTTAGAACAAGTGAAGTTAACACATTCACTCGGCCACAAACACACGAGGCACACTCACATTTCAGCACGGTTTCGCCAAACAGCATGAAAGGTCCCGCCTCGAAGAGAAGTTTCTCATTGCTCGTCTCGACAAGCGCTCGTCCCTGCAAAATGAGAACTGCATAATTTGCCCACTGGCTGGCCTTGTAAATTATGTTGGCGTTATCATCACGGGAACTAAAAAAGCAAAAAAAAATAAAAAAATAAGTAAATTGTGTGAGGTACTAAGCACAGAGAATTACCCCTTCAATAGTTGGAAAGGAATAAAAAAAGTTGTGCTTACTTCATAAGCTAAAGCAATTTTACAAGCACGCAGAGTATTGGGTGATACCTACGGAATGTACTAATAACAAGGCAGACACGAGTTCAGAGGAATTGTTCCATCACAACGTCCCTCCCAAGCTATTATTGATTTCAACAGGATAAAAGAAGAGTTGCAAGGAAGAACGCATTAGGCTAATAAATACTACATAAATAAACACCGCGATGATAAGCAGATATTCAGAGAACCACAGCCACAGCAAAATGCCCATGAAAACAATTGATCCCGTTAGCATCGGTCACACAGAGATAGCGCATCAAGTGTGTAGCAATAGCACAAGTCGGGGAGGCGTTTAAGACGCGTAATAACGAAGAGGGGTTTGATGCACATCCGAATTGGACCTCTGGTTTTTTAACCTTGGCTTATTAAATAGACCGGAATCACTGCAATATGCACTCATGAGCAAACAAACCGACACCAAAAAATCGATGAAGGCAGATGAAGCACGACGCCGGAAACACGTGATCGGTCCGATTCCACATGTATTGGTTAAGGGAACCGAAAATTCAATACAAAGGTTGCGCTGTGACAGTGAATGAACGAGAAGTGCCTGAACTTTTTGATTTGTGATAAAAAAAGGTTGGTTCTTAAAGCAGGAGTCCTGAGAGTACAGTGTGCGTAAATTTGCATCGATCGAGAAATTACAGGAACTTTGTACACGGTAGCATTTGATTCAAAATAATTGGTTTTCACAAACCATGACCTACACGATACGAGGGCAGGTTCCTATATGGATGCACCGACTACAAAGCATGAGCCTGAAAAGCAACTTTCAGTGAACTCAAATATGACTTCGGTTCAAGAAAGTGCATTCACAACTGCTGCTAATGTATCCAGACTTGGGAACCAGAGTAGTGTCCTCAGGTGCACGTGCATGTGGACGATAGTTTTGATCATCATTTGTGGGGAGAAGTGAGTACCTTAATTCCAGAAACGCGTTACTGCCGAAGCCATTGTGTTGGAACCTAGCCTTGGGCCAAACAATTTTACTCATCGAGGGTTTAAGTGTGCATAGCGTTGGGAAGTCAGGTGCACAAGACCTTATTCTTTCGTCACCAACAAAGGATCAGCTCAGTGGCGCAATGGCCACGGCGACCACTAACCTCAAAAATTTATTTCATTTCTGAATCGTTTTGGCAGCGTTTCAAAGGTACGGCTATGTAAGACTAGCACGCAAAGCCAGCATAACAATATTGAACTGATTTCAGCCTATAAAACATGATTTATGTTTTTAAAAGAGAAAAAAAAAACGATGGGTGTAAGATAACCTTCGATAACTTAGGAGCACTCAAAAAAGAACAATAAATAACAGCAGAAAATAGCAGCTTTGTATGCGAGGCTTGGATCTGTAATGGACTACTTTTCAAGACTCACCTAGTGTTCAGCTAAATAATCTAAACACATTCAAAGCACGAAACGATTTTGCCAGCGGTAACTTTAAAGAAATCGAAATCACCGTACAATAGGAATTACCAAATAATAAAATACACTCACTTAAAGACGTGGTGAATAACGACGTTAGAGTTGAGCATACTTTGCAGCACCGACAGAGCAATGTATTCGTCCTTGAAGGTTTCCACGTCTGAAAGCGGGAAAATAGGCTTGGCCAAGGAGGCACAAAACGTTGGGCGAGCGCAACCACCCCACGGCCGACAACGTGAGACAAGCACTTCAGTGTTACACTCTCTCCGACACCGACAAGGCTAGCTTCGATTTTTGCCCAACTACGAAAACAACTGCTACGACGATTTCATCCATCTTTGGGGACTGACAAGAGCACACTTTTGACGAGTTTACTGCGGGTGGCTTAGATCTGACTGGATAAACGCGGATTACATACACGAATTAGCTTGAGAGCTAATTGAATGTAAAAATATTTTTTTGTTTACTAAAAATTGCAGTATTCAAATTACTACCAACAAGATTAAGTGAACGGGATAGAGAGAAACCGGCAATTACCAGAGCACTCGAATATAGCAAATATTACTTCAAATCTTCGGTTATTTTTGGAGTTGAACCCCACGTCAAAAGAATGCACGCGTAAGGAATTCCGGTGATTTTCCGTTGTACCGACCAGTACACGCGTTAGCGTGGTCAAGCGAGGCAATAATTAAACAAAGCACCAAACGATGGGAGGTTGGTAAAGACCTAAGCAAGAACGGTTAAGGTGTGACGAATTGGAGGTAACGTTCATTAAGAACTTCCCCTTTCATCCTTCTTATTCTGTTTACTTCACAGCCATCAAAAAAGCGTCTGTGGAAGACCAAGGAATCACCAAATGTTGCACATTGACTCACACTCCATCGCACAAGTAGCCGTGCAATTAGAGTCCGCATACACCCGGATAACCGAATTACGTAAAATTGTGACAAGTTTTTGAGGCGATAAGACTTATTGAAGGAGGTGCAAGATTTGTGAGGAATACTGACTCGGTTTTCAGAGCGGACGGTAACCGAAAGCGCGGTCCTAATGCAGCATGCCTGTCTATCATGAAACATTATGTCGAAAGACGTATAGGTCGAAAGACGTAAGTAGTACTCAAACGTAGATGAGGTCTGGACAACCGCGACTATGGAAGAGGCGGTGATTTTGTTTCCTCGAATCTCACCGAGTCGTTTAGACTCATGCCTTATTTAAAAACTGTAAGATTTTAATATCGGCGTTTACGAAAGTTTACACCTAATTTTCTATCAAGGGCATACATTTTTTCTAACTCATGAATCTGGGTAACATGGGTCCTTGTAAAAATAATCAGTGACCCCTAAACTACTGTTACGATCACTGGTGCCGGAAAGATCTAGTTTTAATAATTAGAGCCGAACACTAGGACGACATTCCCGTAAAGCAAGGTACCAGTGCCCATCACTCCTTCAAACTTCCTTACATAAAATAATAAATAAATAAATAATAACTTATTTCCCCCTATGACTTAGACTCGGTCTTCGCGGTGTACGTAAACGAGTTACTTCAGTTTCCCAATTTTATAGTCCCTGATTACGTGATGAGCCACGAGAAGGGCCAACGACGAGGGGGCGGCCACCTAGACAGGCATTAAGTAGATTCACCACGGCTACAGTTGCGGTATTCGTCGCTGCATGGTCGCGGTACAAAAGATAAATGAAGACTCGCATTAAAAAACACGGGGCGCAAGTGTATGCACGTATACAACCTGCGGGAATGGTAACTATCGGGGCTTTACTGAAAAGGCAATTTACTGGACGGGACTGCAGCATGGCCTGTTACAGGGAAAATCAAAGAGAGGAGGAAGAGAAAGACGAGCCGGAGGTCACAAACACTCACGATAAATCGACTTCACAAAAGGCACTTACCCAAAAGCGTTGCCACCCAGTTTAAATTCTGGGTTTGTCTGTCAGACAGAATACGAGACAAAAACCGAAACTTTATTTTTAAAAAAATGATTATTTAACTTGCTAGCTCTATTAACAATAATGTGCTCTCTGCTATTGTGCTAACACTTCAGGTGGTTAATCGGCTAATAACGTGTGCAACAACGGTGCATAAACGCTTTGCAAAAATTCAGAGCATAACTCTGTCAACTTCAAACCACTTCTTTCTGTCTGCTTAGCAGTTTCGTCATGCACAGCTTTAACATACACTTGGTCGTTTCCTTTGTGCTTTCTTTAGCCGCAGAATTGACGCGCAAATGTCTCGAACGGAGGTAATGATCGTAAACACACCAGCTCAAAAAATTGCTTTTGTTAAAATGCAGTAAACAAAGCGAAAATAATGAAGTTCACTTAAAATCCGGATTCGAATTGACCAGCTTTACGTTTACCTTAATTACACCTGGAAACAAATTAACCTCAAGTTATGCACACATAAACACACAAACGCTGTGACGGAAATTAGGAAGAGGCTTTGTTTTGTAAAAAAAACCGCAGTGGATTTCGATGACCCTCAATTGTGTATTGTGGCCACAAAAAATAGCTTGCATACGCTGGGAAAAATAAATGATTCCTTTCAAATTGGACTGCATTTGGCTTCGCGATTAACGGCGTCCATTTGAGTAAAGAAGAAGAGTTTGCTAGTGACAGCGCGCATGATGGAGTTACTGCAAAGGTTTGGGCTGGCATATCACCTTACGAATGCCCCCTACAACACTGTTTGGAGGAAAAGGGAACAAACTTTCTGAAGAGGATAGTAAAGGGAAATTACGATTGCCCAAAGGCGGCGTTTGGGCTGCGTCACCTCAGCACTTTTACTCAACGTCCGATAGCTTCTGTTGAGGCTCCGTGGTGACATGAAATGTCGTGGCAAACAAGCGACATTTCGCGATAGCGACCTACCCACTTCGAGAACGCGATGCATCGGGCAAAGGCAGTGATAACATTTAAAGACGTTAACTTTCAATAAAATAGGTCAAACGCCAAAAAAAAATAATTTGTGAAAATGGCAACATCCTGTTAAGATAATGAAAAAGCAATTTACTTGAAGCAAGGTGACGCAAAGCAGCAATTTTGAGTTGCGGTGATAGGTGGTGGCGTGGCTTGTCCGAGTTCGACGTGTTGAATACACGGAAGTCGGTTTTTCTAACAACACGCGGCTGTCGCCTTGTGTTGTCGGCTGAAAAAAGTAGCAATGAGTAGGAGTAAACAATTCAAGGAAAATAACTTGGAAGAATTTCTTCAGGGGTTGGGACGAGTGTACTTTTCTGAAAAAATACTAAGCAGTGTTAATTAAAAAGGGTGAAAATTAACGGTTTTAATGTTTACCTAAATTAAGAGTACATTACATGAGCTAGGTGCTGTTGCAGTTTTCGAGGAATTAGAGCGAAAGTTGGGGTTTCCAAAGCACAGAAATCCACTGAAAATAATTTCCGAAAGGAGAGGTGTTAATACGAGTTAAATTTGGTGCTGAATATGACACAACCTGAAACCTGTCACACCAATTGCGTCTTCGTAACGCTTCGTACTAAATCAAACCCCTAAAATTCCTTAAACAGTCCAACATTGGCACCCAGGTCGTGTGGGTTCGTAGCTTAGTGGCTAAATGGCATGCTTACTAGGTCAATGAGTTACGAAATGCTGAGGTCATAGTAAAATGCCACAACTTTAAACCCTTTGACTTGCCAACACACACTAATCGGAAGCTGGCAACAAGATTCCAAAAATCAATTTATTACTCGGATAAATTCTACAAGGGAAATTGGAAATATCGATAACGTACTTTACACACTTACCTAAAAGCGCTAAACTCATGTGAAGGCTGTCATAAACATACGAAAAAGAAGATTTCTTCGGTAAACGAAAATAATCAGGAGCCTTTTTCGGCGCCATAGGCACCATTAATCTCATTGCACACCTTAAAATAGATTCTCTTAGGGAAAAATATGCCCTATAACGTAACAATGTATGATTTTTAGCCTGTTCAGGTTGAATAAACCTTGCCACGCTTCTACTTATTTCAAATACAGTCTGTTTGAGGGGCCACAAATGTTGACAATATTCAAAGTGATGGGTAAAATCGATTGCTGGTTTTGTGATTATATCTGGTGTTTTTTAACTTCTTAGCTTTCTTTTATGTACACTGGTTAATGGACAAGCATAACTGAAAGTAAAAGAAGCGAAGGAAAGTGCAAATTCCGTAGCCTAGGTAATGCGTGCAATTTGTTTTAACCGAAAAGGTCGGAACCGTCTACATTGTGAAAGAATCCCACTCACTGAAGATGTCAGTCTCGTCGACAATCTCGGCCTGAATTATTTCCTCGATGACATCCTCGAGAGTCACGAGGCCAATCATCTCTCGGTAGGGGTCGCCTTGCCCACCGGTTACAAGACGCTCCACAAAGGCCATATGTGTTTTGCCTAAAGAATAACAACAAATTGCAATGCTTTTTTTCCGAATACACACCTATCAAGATGTGTTAATTAAGCGTCAAGAGCGTTAGTGGAGCGGCGCATTACTCACCCGGAACCGACATACAGGCTCAAAACTAAAGATTAGCGGAACGGTTAAAAGTACATAACAGGACGATAACTAAGTTACCGAATGTCTCTGTGCTACGGATTATGGTAAAACAGCAAAACCCAGTGTCAACCGTGTTTGCGCACGGACTAAAAAAACACGTCTTAAGCCATGTGAGAAATCGTGCCAAACGCTCCAACAGCAATCGTTGGCGGCTGAAATCTGAGTGACAGCGCTAGACACTAGGTGCTATTTTCGCGTTACTAAAAATACGCCGTGAACACACACTATTTGCTGTTTTGATTACAACAAGGCCAAATCAATTGTTTGCACCTGGATTTTCCAGCATTGCCTTCTTCTCTTTCTTTAACCAATTTGAAATTTGACGTTTTGTGGTAATAGGACTTGGTACTTAAATGATTACTGTAAAACTAGACCAGATTCAACGTACACAACTAATCAACTTAGAAAATACCAGTAGATCAGTCATGTGTTTCTAGTTATGAGAAATTAAAAAAAAACAATGTCTGCAATTCTGATCAAAGATACTAAGAGGCACTGGGAGGCGTAACAAAATGGATGACCACAGAAAAATTGTGAATCGTTGGTCAATTCGGCAAGTTTGATGATGTGAACTACATTACCAGTACACAGTTAGATGCACTTTTCCTAGACAATCATAACAGAGGTTAAAGGAGTGCAAATAAAACAAGTGCTAAACCCAATGGAACCCTAAGAATGATGACCAAAACGTGAGTTAGCGCACGTGCCAAATAGGCACACACAAAACCGTGAGAAATAAAGAAAACCACGAAAATGGTCTAAGTTAAGTTACCACGTTTGAACGCAAATGCGTGCGTTTATTTACTTAATTCCAGTGCCATTACATGTCATTTGATCACGTTAACATGCGGGCCTAAAATGATCAAAACATTTTTTTTAGTTTGGAAAATGAGCGTGAAGAGAAAAACAACTTTGGCGAAGATCGCGGTTTTGGAGGGAGTGAAAATTAGAGAGGGTATTTAGGATAAATAAGGCGCACGGGAGAAAAGCCACAAGCGAAAAACGTCCACTAGAGCAGGCGATTCGCAAACCAACAAAAACGTAGGATACAACGCGAAAAACCGCAATTTTATATCATGACCAAATAAACGCACTCATGACTGGAAATAAAAGTTGACTTGCAAAGACAACACCGGGATTAGTATTGGCTGAATTTAGTACAGAAGGTCAAGTGGTCTAAGAAATATTCTGTACGGTAATGGGGAGATCATAATCTCTAGTGTGGCTGTAATATGCGACTGATTTAGAGAGTTGGGAGCATTGGTAAAGGAAGAGCTAAGGTACCCTAAATTACGTATGCAGGCGTGGGCGATGGAAGGGTACGCGGTAGAAATGAGGCGCACATAACACAAAAAAGCTCAGGTACGTCTCGCAGGAAGTGCATCAGCTCGAACAAAAGGAACTCTGTCAATGAAGCAAATATTCATAATTGGCTTTACCACTAAAACCTATTCCAACGAGACGTCTGTCTTTATAGGTATCCAAGTAGGAAAATTGGAAATCTGGCGGTACGGTTATAGAATGAAATCTTCGTCTTGAAAATTCATGTGGTATACCCTACTATGAGGTGGAAAAAATAGCACGAGTGACTGACGTTAATTTTTCATAGGGATTGAGCACTTTGAAAAGGCTAAATATTCAGCAACTGCGACCGCTAATGTGCAATAGGAGGGGTAGGATTTGTGCTTATGAGAAGACAGTGACAATCAAATAAAGTGATCGAATGCCTACTGGCTTTGTAATACTAAACGCCACTCAGCACAACACTTGAAACAGGAAAACTAAGTGGATAGTGTCCAATTCCACTCACCCTGTCGAAATTCTTTGAGCATAGTCTCAAGACTGGTGGTTTCAGGTACCACAACGATCGACCGATTGTAGAATGTGCAAACAGTAGCTAGTGGTACCTTGTCGTCGGCATTGATGAAACCGAGGTCCTTGACGTTGAGAATAGCCTTAATATTCTTCCGATCGCCCTCGTATACGGGGATGCGAGTGAAGCCGTGAGAGAAGATCTCGTTCATTGTGTCGAAGTCCAAGATGGCTGTGTTAGGCAGCATAAAGGCATCGCTTAACGGTGACATGATGTCGCCGACCGTTTTGGTTGACATGTTCAAGGCACCGGCGATTATATTCATCTCATCGGGCGCGACAAGACCGGCATTTTGCTGTCAGAACATAACAATTACGGTTGACAGACAGAGGCGGATAACTGGTTAGCTCGTGGTAGGACAAAAAATGGCAGTACCATAACAATGCGATCGTTATTGGGAGTTAACTGATGGCGGGTGCCATTTTTTCGCTTTTTAAAGTCAGTGATTGGAGCAACAGGGGAGCATGTTTTTAGATAAGAGTTGCGGGGCAATATCCTTGCTATACACCCACTTCAGATTGCTCATTGTTTATTCATAAAGCTGTCGTTTAGCTGCCATGGGTTATCAAAAGCATGCGTTGCGGAATAGTAACTTATTTCTAACAAGCAATCATATGACTACTGCAATAAATTACATATTAAAAATAAGTCAAACTACTTCGAACAATTTGAAAGACTAGGAAAAACAATTCTTTCGCTCGAGTGCCTTCACATTAAACGTCAGATACAGCAGACAAGTGTCGGTAGACGCAAACATTGGGTGGTATCAAAACCATGTCATTGTGTGTCCGGAGTCGTGTGCTACCCTGTAAAGCAATGAGCACATCTGATCGAAGTGCAGCCGACAGATACCTGGGGAAACCCAAAATATTGGTGCGGAATTTCAAGTCGAGAGTTCCTAAGCAATAAATCTAAACTGGCGAATAAGTCTAAGTCATTTTGTAGTCAAAGAAGGTAGGACTGAATTCCACTTTGTATCTAACATAGTTGTTAAGCCACAACTTGAAAAAATCTTGTTTATAAAGTCGGCCAGTTTTTGTTTACCCAAGTAAGCAAATTATGCATCTTTGGATGGAAAAGCATCCAAATTTGAACCGCTGATAATATTAAAGATACTTTGTCAGTAGCCAAGATTCCTGAGACGATTTATCAGCATGGAGCAGGCAGAGATGTTTTTGATAAATTTTAGACTGAAAACTTATCGTTGCTTGTGCCTTCGGCTGTTTTTTTTCAGCAGCACTCATATACACAATAAATAATAAAGTACGTGCGAATCACACCATTGGACACGTGAGGTGCCATGCGATGGTCAGTGCACAAAAGTCACTGAAATTAAACCTGCATCAAACAACCTTGGAGATCAGTTCATTCAGCCGAACTAAAGGATACGTCTACATGCAAACGTCATTTTAAAAAACACTGTTGTCGTCGTTGAAACGTTAAGGGTGGGGGCCACATCATTGACGTGTATTAACACACGAAGGAATGGCATTTTACTGCCCTTTCAACCAACATTTCAGCTTCAAGGAAAACTACGGATATATGTTATGTGGTGGTAGGAACGCAAATGCAAAATTGTTGGGAGAGTAGTCATGATTTTTTTCTCGTATGCCTCTATTATAAACTAACTATCAATAATTTCGTGTCAGTTAGTATGGGTTTCACCAAAATGGAAGATTTTCGGTTTTCAAATGACTGTAAACGCCAGCGTGTAGGAGCGTCTCAGTAGTTTTTTTGTTGATTAGACATAATTCTTAACTTATCATAAACGTATGAACGTAGCATTTTCATATGGCTTATAGTGATTAGGAGAAAAACAGTATAGATTGGAATTAATACAGATTAATTCAGCATTAAGGTTGACGTAATTGTGAAGTTACACGTCGCTAGTGAATAGATAGAAATATAAATTTACGTCATCTCAGAAAATTTGGGCACGTATGTCTTAGGGAATTAAAGTAAGTATTTGGGCACTGGAACACATTCACGAAAATGACACATTTTACAGGAAGTTAAATGTAAATTAAGAAAAACACCGTAAACCGTTGGCAATTTGACAACATCAAGTGAGTGACATGGGATGCTGGACATTCAGTGGCCCAACTAGCAGCTACAAGTTCGACTAAAAACTGATTTTAATGTTGAGTATAACGCAGGACGAGAGATTTGAGAACCCCCCAATGACCAATAACACTCGTCCCTTGATATTTGTATTTGGTTTTTTAAACTCAAGTTGCAGATGAACCCATAATCCGAACTTGTGAACTATTTGTATAATGAAAAAAAAACACTTGAATAAAGTATTTGTCAAACAGCCGTGAAAATGGCAGAGTATAAAAAGTTGTCGCATGACGGTCCTCGAGACACTTAAAGACGTCTAAGCACTTGTTCTGTAATGGTCCAAAGGTTACCCTGAATTGCGGCCAATTATTGCTTACTTGAAACCAAACACTTGAGGCATAAGAGTGTCACATCTACTCATTCGCAGGCCCACAAACACATCAACATGTTAAATTAACCAACAAGTGAGAGCTACGCTTATCTAGTGAAGCAATGCACGCGGTTCATTTGTCAAGCTCATGGCAGAAAAATTTGTCCATGGAAAAAATGTTTACCTAAAACCCGACTAGAACATGTGCCGAAATTCGTCTATTGAAATAAGCATTTCTTCAAAATGAAAAACCAAACAGGAGAAATTAGTGGTAGAATGTAAATTAAAAAGACATTTTTGAGTATAACTTATGCAAATCGACTGCAAAATAATCCCCTACAGATTGTCGGTGTTTTCTGCATGATCTCCGCTGATATGAATGTATAAAATAAGCGGCTTTGCGGTTTAAAACGTAGGCCTTTCATGCTTTTTAGCAAAGCATCAGACATTGCTACGTAAACCTTCATGAAACAAGCAAGGATAAAAAATGACTAGAATTTAATCAACTACGCAAATCGATTAAGATGAAAACCGGAGGAGAAATAACGTAAAATGAAATTTTGTGCATAATTAAAAATCATGAAATTCCATGCATAAATAACAGCGTGCCAAATAGCTAATTACACCATCAATTTTGACACTTCACTATCACATATGTAAAACATTGCGACTGTTTAGAGATCTTAAGGCTAACTGCCTCCAAAAGGTTACTTTGGTCCGAAACACGCCAGGAATTAGGCTCAATAAGAATGCAAATTAATTTTTTAACAGTTTAGCGGTTTGAACGATCATCAAGAACGGTGAATCATTGAAGTCCCAATAGAGCTGGGTTCATCAATATCACAAGTTTTTCTATTGGCTAGTGATTCACGTAGTCATTCGTAGGTGAAAGTACGTGAAAAAAAATTAAATGCACTAACCGGAACAATTAGGAAGTAAATAAGTAATTTGGGATGCTAAAGCAAAATATGTCGCGTCTACTAATGTCAATTCAAATACACTTTCCACGTATTCATTCAGATAACTTAAACTCCCTTCTGCGAAATTATAATTGAAAAGGATAATGAATACCTTGCATAAAACATATAGTCTCACGAAGAGTTGTAAACAGGTTCGGCAACATGACCGCCTAATGAGGTGCGTAGTTACCTTGATCCATTAACATTTACTAAGACCTGAACTTTACGAAATCAGCACGAAGAACATATTGATAAAAAATTATATCCATGTAGAAATGGTTCTTTTCAGATTTTTGAAAACTAGAACGCATAGTTACTTAGTTTAAAGCTGCATTTTGGGAACTTGGAATTGATTGAACTGAGGTTTTTTGATCAAGACATTGAACCCACAAATTTGGGGTACGGAGAGTCCGATTAGAGAAATCGAACTAGTGGTTAGTAGCAAAAGCGCCATGGTACGTGAGAATCATAGATTGCATAAATCAGGCAAAAGGCGCTGTCAGCTCCTCTGCAAATAAAATATAGCAGTATCACGTTTGCCATAAATGAAGTGACTAATATCACAAAATGAAAAGCCACATTGATGAGGCTACGCACTAGTTAATGTAAAAAAGAACACTCACTTGTTCCATCAGTAGCACACCAAGTTTCTCCTTGCTATACACTTGACCCAAATCCTCCCCAAGCATCTTGTCCAACATGAAACTAATCGGAAATGCGATTGGGAAGGTCAGGACCATGAAAAATCTGGTGAGCCAAATAGTTTTGGCACCGATTGCTAAGCCATGGCGGGAGCAAATAGCTTGTGGGAGGATCTCGCCAAACGTTGTAATACCCAGTGTTGAGGCAATAACAGCAAACAATCCACTTCCAGTAAGGTTATCCATTAGTATAGTAAGCGTGGTGTTTACAGTAACGTTGCCCAGCAAAATAGTGCAGAGTAGCAAATTGCCTTTCTCACGGATGGGACGAATTGCTTTTGCATAGCGCTTTTCATCTGGGTCACCAGCAGTTTCAATAATCTTGAGCTCCGTCTTATCTAATGCCATTAAGCCCAAGTTAAGGCCGGAGAACAAGCCAGACAAGAAGAACAAGACTATGATAAGGATAATCTGAAGCCATAATGGCATGATAGTAGACGCTGTTCGTAGAGCAAACACAGTAGAATTGGAGGGGGCAGCAAAAACCCAACTGATTGAATTATTGTTCTGTATGATAGGCTTAACAAGTTTGAAACAAATGTAAAAGGCAGATTCGAAAGACGTAAGTTTCCGAAGCCTCACTGACGTTTCCAATGAGTAAGACGTCGTGTTGCGTACTTCAGAGGCTGTTGTTGCGCGATGCGTATCACAAGAAACACCAGTTTCATTTTTAGTTGTGGCAAAGGAAAGATACTTTACATTTTCGAAGTTCCCACCGTAAATATACAAGTGAAGGGTTTTGTCGGCAGGCACCTCAATAACCCCATCACTTACAGCATTAAATTCACTTGGAAGAACGCCAGTAATAAAAGGCAATTCTGAAACGGCAACACATTGATGTACAATAAACAGTATCGAAAAAACTTTCAACTTCGCGAACATGGCCATTCTTAAATGGATAGACTAAAACAGAAAATGTCAATAAACAAGCAATTCAAATAAATTAAAAATATGATGCCGTGTGAATATGCGTCACCTCAAATGAGCTTCCAGAAACAACCCCTATCACAGTAAATGCCACCAAAAACACGGACGCCGATTGTGCATTTGAACAACAACACGATCCTGGTTAAACCAATTGGATCCAGCTCAACTGTGCATATCAACAAACCATCGAGTTCAAGGTCTTAATCACTTCCAGAGTGTAAAAGCAAAATATAGGCATAAAAAGGGCCTTTATTTCGCTCAGAAAATTAAAAACACATTTCTTGCGGCCTTACTTCTCATGCACAAGCTATTTTAAACAAATTATTTGACCCATACTCGTGTATTTCGGATAATGGTCACAACTAAATGTTCAGTAACTATTTATAATTGTTCATTACGCAAGCAGTTTCTATGCAAAAGTAACCGAGAAAAAATCAAAATTTAATAGAGCTACGAATTCTTAAATATTGTAAAAAAACACTGGTCATATCTCGACCAGTTACGTATAGCAAAGAATGTTAATGTACACTAAGCAAATGAAAGAGAGCTGGCAGCAGCTTTGATCGTCCATTTGCTCTTTGTAATTTTGTTACAAGACTTTTTAACCCAATCGCACTATAAGTAATCGAAAGTGTGATAATGGTTGCTGCCAAAATATTTGAATTCACATCATATTACTCCAGTTTGGAGGCACATAGCACAACCCCAAAAATATTAATGAACAGTTGAATTTAAATATCTACCTGTAAAATATAAGCACGCACCTCACACTGTTGAGCAGATACGCACATCCACGAGACTGAAAAAGAGGACTTTCTATCTCACTATTTACACGTCGGAAGCACATATCAAACAGTTATGTGGTTCCCAGGAGGAATGAGCAGTGTTACAATGCTTTGCTGAATTGGCGTTTTGAACACAAATTTGTCAATAGGCTGTCCTCCTCGAAGGCATTCGGGCACACGTGGCAGTGGTCAACCACCCAGCACACACTAAAATGAATCTCAGCATGTGAAAGCGAATGGGGCTGTTGGACAATTTGCCAACTAAACATTGCTTTGGTTGTTTAGTAGAAATAAAAAGCCCAAAAATTATATCGAATTTGTAATGTTTGATTTGTATCGAGGCGATTTTATTCCGTCAAATTTTTGATTGCAGCTACGACCACCCAGGCTCCTGTCTGCTCTTAAGGTTACTTAAGAAATGCTTGTCAATTAATTCTACCGCTAAAGTAAAAACCGTTTTCGGGGATGCCAAAACCCTTAGAAGACGTCGTTTTAATGCTGCACTTTACAATTCAAGATGTATAACTGACAAACATTGCATTAGTTAGAAATCTTGAAAACGATTGTACCGATTGTGCCGTCTTTTTACGTGGATTAAAACAGTGTGGCCAATTTTCAAATACATGGCTTTCTTTGTCTTTCCTTGATGTGCATTTTCTCTATCCGCATTAAATACTGAGTTAAAGATACCCGACTCAACTAATCGTTGAATTTCCACAAGTAAATTTGAATATCGCGACTTTACGCCTTGGAACTTCCACAAGTCGGTCTTCACATGGCATCACAATGTCGTAAGACCTCGTAAAATTCTCATACTTGGAGCCCCGAGAAAATCAAAACATTGTGCAATCTACTTTGCCCGAATTACGTTCAAATCAAAATTTTTAATGGTATTACATTATTCAGTAAATGGTTGTGAACTGAATAAAATTCACTAGTTTGCAATCACTTGTAACGTTTGTTTGGTGGTGGGGTTTTGAAACGTAATGTTTTAAAAGGTACTAGTCATTCAAAAAAATATGTCTGCTAGAGAATTTGGACCTCGCGTAAGAGCATTGAATTTCAATATTTTAATGATACCATTATGTGGAATGCAGACTTGCGATTACGTGTCTTTAAAAGTGAAATCGATTTAAAAAGATTTAGAAAGCAATATTGAAAAACTTGGCAACTGAATGAAAACAAGTTTCAAATACTTAGAAATCAAGATTCCACCCACTGATGTATGTAACTAGTCGGCAAAGCAAAATTACGGAAGCGCACTAGCAGCTCATAAAAGCTTGGCCCCACCTGTTATTAATTTTCCCACAACTGCTTAATTAGTCCACATCCATGAACTTAAATGCATTGAACTTAAGTGCATTTTAGTCGGAGCAAGAACCTGCTTTATTATTCCAGGTACGCACTTATACTTCCAGGACACTTCGTGTTTCCTGCAAATGATTAAGTCTAAATTAAGTCAGTTTGATTGCGGCAAGTGTGGAGAAGGAACCTGAGTTGGCGTGAGTAAGTGTGTTTGAGAAACCGACGAGATTTCCCATTCGCAAGACGTCATTTAATTTGCCTGCATGAAGTGAGTTTTGTACGACCTCAGAAAACGTTTCAACAAGAATTTGGTCGGTACTGTTTGGTTGCACTGAAAAATGGTATCTAATAAATATTGAAATGCTCACTCTGAATTGCGGGGTCGCTGACTGAGGCAAAGTACTGTTCGTTACTAAGCTTGTAGAGACACGAAGAAAACGCGTCCTAAGACTTAGTGGATTACAATATGGTGCTGTATTTATTGTCGATTCTAACATGCATCATGACTCAGTTTGTTAAAATAATTTGATTGAGGTTTTCTTCACGATGCCAGATATAATGGCTGTGTCTTCCAACTTACAAGACAAACGTCGTGGTTTACACACTCCCTTTGACATCAGTGGAGTTTATTTTTGATTGGTTGAATGCACCATGAACGAATACGAAATATATATTTGCAAAAATTATAGCCTAGAACAAACCGGCTCACCTCCCCAAACAAATTGTCCAACAGCCCCATTCGCTTTCACATGCCGAGATTCATTTTAGTGTGTGCTGGGTGGTTGACCACTGCCACGTGTGCCCGAATGCCTACGAGGAGGACAGCCTATTGACAAATTTGTGTTCAAAATGCCAATTCAGCAAAGCATTGTAACACTGCTCATTCCTCCTGGGAACCACATAACTGTTTGATATGTGCTTCCGACGTGTAAATAGTGAGATAGAAAGTCCTCTTTTTCAATCTCTTGGGTGTACGTGTTTGCTCAACAGTGTAGATAAGTGTGATGAATAGTTGACCTCCGTGGAGACAGTGTGCCGAGTTTATTTATCTGTACATGACATTATAGCGTAATTGGTTTAATATTTCCAATGGCAGTACCTTCTTTGTTTTGTGTTACGATTTCTTAATGATCTCTACTTTTCATTGATTTGTAAAATATGTCAGGGTCGCGGCGTGTCATTCGGAAACCTATGTCACTAGTTAGACTCAATTGCCACGGGTTTGAGGCATCCGTCATTGCAATAGCCGCGTGCAGTTCGTGTTTGATATCCTCAAAATCTGTGTGGTACACCTTAGCATCTGCTGGGAGAGATGATTACTAATTACAATAATACAGTACACCCCTTTTCATTGTTTTGCTGTAACCGCTTCAGGGAGGTGTGGCAAGATGTCACGCAAAGTACAGGTGGAAAAATGAGATGGGAGGAGAAAGACGAATGTTTACTTGGTATGTGAGGCCGTCTGGCTGGTGTGGGCTGCTGACCACTACAGGCCATGTGAACTTGTAAAAGTACAGACCACTGAGAGGCAAGATGAGTGAAATGAGTAGCGGGGGGGGGTACATGAAACTGGGTGTATGAAGCGGCGGTTCCCACGTGACTAACGTGGACATTGAGAAAAGGCAGGCTGCGTGTGGGAACGTGCGGTGAACGAGGTGGTGGACATGAATCAACACGAATCACTACAAGAAAATTCGCCTTGAAAGTCAACGGTCGTTTAATCAGTCATTGACTCAAAAGCGTTCTTCGAATTTGTTGGGAACAGATCTCAACAAACGGTTGTCATTGGTCGTTTGAAGGCTGGTCTCGCGAATAGTGATGAGTTCCCGATCACTCCCTTATCATTTACATCTCCAAATGCTGCTACGATTTGCAAATTCCCTGTGACGTGAATATTTTTTGAATGATATTCTGATTATTAATACACTCTTTTTTTAACAAAGAGAATACATTTTTGCAACTTAAAACCATCAGTTTCCCCACTTTCTCATCAAGTAACCATCGAAGGCTCATCGGTAAGAGCTTATCTGAAATTGTTTATCCTACGATTATTACACATTCTCCTTACTCGTCAATGTAATATATAAGTAGTTCTTAAAAATGCCGGACAAAATGCAAGACATATTGCCGAGCTCGTGGTCGACGCTTTCATGTAGTTCTGTGGAAGTGGTGAGAGGTATAAAGAATAAAATGCTTGTAAATTTGTTGGTCCAAGCGGATGAAAAGTGCCAAGGTAAAAGTGGGCGCTGTAAGTGATGAATGCAGAGATACTGCTATCTTAAAATTCCAAAAATTAGGGTTGGTATAATTCGGTTGAAACGGCGAAATCAAACACCTACGCTAGTATACTTAAAGTTCTGACTAAAATCCGTTTTAAGGTAATTAGTAATCGGATAGTGATGACAAAGGATTTCAAATGAACCATGACTTGGTACCTAATTCAATGTCATAATGATTTCAGATGTACAAGGGGACCATAAACCCCGCTATAAATAAGGTTCTGATGAGTCGTAGTTACGACTGAAAGAGATTTGCCTTAAGTTCCAGACTGAGAGGATTTCTTCAGATAGATCGTGGTTTCTAAAAAAATCACATTAAAATTTTTACGCCCTGCTAATATGGCCGTAATTATACCAATTTGACCAGCGAATGAGTGAACCTGCATTTTGGCCAATGACTAAATACTTCTTGTTCAAATCTAAATTATTAGGCGGACATACCGTTTTGCAAACATAAACCAGCTCTGCTTCTCCCTATCACATAAAAAATTATCGTGCGTACGTAAATAAGTCGGTCTTTGAAACGTGTATAGGGCTCCGACGTGTTGTGTGTCATGTTCTTTTTACGGTAAGTATCGCCGATAAGGTTATT